GGGTGACGCGGCAAATTTAAATTCAGCTTTCCCGTACCCGCGGGTAACTCGTACGGTCCCGTGAAAATTTTTTACGGCTAAGTCAATATCTCAGGAACCACGGAGTCTAGGAGGCTGAAATTTTAGGGTAATGACCCCCTGCCCACGCTCAACCTTGCCGGACCACGGAGTCTAGGAGGCTGAAATTTTAGGGTAATGACCCACTGCCCATGCTCAACCTTGCCCATTCGAATTCAGCCTTCCGTTACCCGCGGGTAATACGTACGGCCCCGTGAAAGTTTCCCATGGGTAAGTCACGGGTAAGTTTTCAGCCTTCCCTTACCCGCGGGTAACTCGTACAGCCCCGTGAAAATCTTTTACGTGTAAGTCAATATCGCAGGAACCACGGAGTCTAGGAGGCTGAAATCTTAGGGTAATGCTTGCCCATTCAAATTCAGCGTTCTCGCGCTCTCGGGTATCACCTACGGGTTAGTGGAAGTTTTTACGGGTAAATTATCTCGGGAACCACGGGGTCTAGGAAGCTGAAATTTTAGGGTAATAACTCCCTGCCCACGCTCAACCTTGCCTATTCAAATCCAGCGTTTCCTCGCCGTTGAGTATCACCTACGGCCTCGTGAGAATTTTGGCGGCTAAACTATCAGCTAGGGAATCCCGGAAAGATATTCACTCTTCAAGGTTTCGAATTCAGCTTTCATGCGAATGTTTGTGAAATTTTTAACTATTTTCCAATTTTTGAACTATTTTTGCATAGACAAAAGTACAGAGCAGTGAAAATCATTTATAGACAGTCGTTCGATGGGCTGAATTGTACAAAACGCATGATCGCACCGGCCAGTCTGGTGCGCATTGCTATTTATTTTTCTTCTTTCGCATGAAGCAGGCTCATTTATCAGATATGTAATTGTGCTGCACCATCAAAGGTCACGGCAAGGTTCCGGGCCAAACGGATGGCGGTGCTGGAGCAATTGTGCAGCAACGCGTCGTGGTGCTGAGCCTGGCCAGCAGACTCTGGGATTATATTGCGGTTCGGAAGTGGCCACGTACGCTCCAGACAACGCCAGCAATGACCAAACGCGTCGCTAGCATGGATGATTGGCTACTCGGTGGCGCGAAAAAAGGTATGCCCCCCTGTTGAATCATATGACGCGGCGTTTTCTTCGGGATGCGAGGCGTTGTCCGGTGCCCGGCAGTGAAGGGGGCAGGGGGGCGACGGGTATTTCGCCAGCGGCACAGGCACACCAGTGCTGCAAAAGTCCGGGTCTAAAGCTAAAACTGAAGTAAACTAGTTGGCCTAAAATAACTCTAAGTAGCAGTGTGTTACAACTCTATTCCTAGTTTTTGCATAGTTCCAGGGTGGGAGGGCCCCTCCCCCCCCC